TCATAGGCAGTCTTCTTCGTAGTCCTTGGCAGTCGCTTGGCTGTAAAATGGTATTTTGGCAGTACTTGACACCCCTCGATTATCTTTGTATGTCCAACCCCAATTTAAAAATAAACAATAAAACTGCTGTGTGTGCCATGATTTCGTCTTAATCCGCTGCATCTTTTTATTTCATCTATTTTAACAAAGAATAGCAAAATATGAACTGTTTGAGTACGGTGGTTTACTATAAAGTACATACAGTAATTCATTTCAATTTCAATGCCTACCATTATATATTATATTTTCTTGGATATATATCTAAATGTAGTTCCCACCTATGACTTAGATACCTTAGCCCGATAACTTTCTCTTCTCTTTACATGCTCTAGTAAGTGCATTTTTTGCAGCCGTATATTACTTTGATGAATGAGATGGAACCACGATAATGAGTGGTTGGTCTTGCTATATGGTTTACTACAAAAACTATACAGGGTGGCGCCTCTCATACGACGCGGAGGCTCCAGGGAGAACGACAGTTTGTGTTGAAATGAAATTTTGTGAGCATATGTAGGTTAATTCATAGCACATTTTAAGTATATACTGGTGTCCCTATCAAAGTTGTGTTTTTTGTAATAAAACACTCTAGATATTAATTGATTTTCGGATTCTGGATGAAAAATAAAGGTGAGTTTTATTAGAAAAGTATATGACTAAAATGTAAGGTTTTTGACATAATTTAACATTTTCTAAAAATAAAGCACAATTTTTAAATTACAATAAAAGCTACCTAAATTGAAATTTACCCGGTATAGTCTAATATGTAGTTAAAATAACTATTGTACTTTAAATCAAATTAAAACTTGATCTAAAATGTTATACAGGGTGAGACAAAATTAATATTGAACATTAGTCACCCCTAAAAGCAAGTTACTGTCTTATTTTAAATGGAACACCCAGTATATTATTTTGATATTCAATGGATAATTCATGTATCTTCAAAATACTATTAAGGTTGCCTACCCTTACAACAAAATTTTCTAGATATTTTCATTTTTATGATTTATTGTGAGTAGATCTTTATTATTTGATAAAGTATAGGGGTGGCTGTGATATGTCTGACGTTAGTTACTTCAACATAGCTGTCTAATTAGTCCAACTTGCACAACTAATTATCATTTTTTGTCTGTTAAAAGAAAAAAAATCTCAGAAATTTGCCGAAAATGAAAACTTATCCTACATCAGAGAAAATTCATATGATTCTATTAGTTAGGTTAGGCACACTGCATTCACCAATTAATAGAACACTGCTCCTAATTTTATCTAGTCTGTTTTTTATGAGGATATGTTAAAGACAGTGTTTACAAAACTTCATGTTGTCGACAAACCAACTATTGTCGACAACATGAGAGAAATAATTTTAGCTGCTTTTCGAAGTAGAACTCCACACTCCACATATATATGCCTTTTAGAATGAAAAGATATTTTAAAAAGAGAATCATTTTATGCAGTTACCAGGGAAGGAAGCATTTTGAGCATTTGATTTCTTCTAGCTAATTTTTGTCACGTAATTATAGGTTTATATCTAGTTTTAATTCTGTAATAATTAAAATATGTTTTAAACGTATATATTTTTATTACCGTTGAGTATTTTACTCTAGATCCTTTAATTTTTGTTAAATTAACAAAAGGTATATCACAGCCATCCTAGATTTTTTCAAATAATATAGATCTACTGACACAAAATCATAAAAATTAAAATATCTAGGAGAACCTTTGTGTGAGGGGTAGGCAACCTTAATAATATTTTGAAGATATATGAACTCCCCATTGAACACCGGAATAATATACAGGGTGTTCCGTTTAAAAGAAAAGAGCAAATTGGTTTTAAAGTTAACCAATGTTCAATATTAATTTTGTCTCACCCTGTATAACTTTTCGGGGCAAATTTTAATTTAGTTTAACAAAATGGTGTACTTTAATATCAGGCTATGCAGGGTAAATTAAAATTTAAATAGATGGTATTTAAATTTAAAATTTACTCTTCCTTTTTACAAAATGTGAAATATGTCAAAATCCTTACATTTTTCTTTTTTCTAAGGTTCATTTATCATTATAAATGATTCAATTTACTTAGTTTGCTGAATGCGTGTACGATAACTACTTTTTTACGAATGAACTTTAGAATTTCCCACGAATACGGTGGGTATTTCCCTTTTCTCTCTGGATCTCGAAATTTCCCATGAATCGGAAAAATTCCCACGAGTTGGCAACACTGTATATAGAGGATGAAAAAACATGACATAAAGAGAAGACATGTGGCTATCTATTTCAAAAATAAAATTTTTCAAATGTCATATAATAATGGCCGCAGCTGTCATGGAATTGAGCGATAAAGAAATTATCAGAAATAATATTTTTCATTCAAAATTATCATAATATTAAATTAATAATTCAAAAATTATCATAAATCATTTTGTTTCAAATGGAAACCCCTTTTTTATTTCACTAGTGAAGAGGTTTTTCAATTCAATTAAAATAAATTGTTTTTAAGTTATTTAAGATTTAGTTTTAAAGCGTACATTTTTCTTGATTTTAACCAGTAGCGTATGAGACTTAAACGTCAAGTGATATAAAACAATAGATCAGGCCATGTCATATCGTGACACTTTGCTAACAAACCAGTATGTTATCAATCATCATTTTCAAGCCAACTTTGTGCCGTTTTTTTTTTCGATTATACGGTATAATATTAATAATATCAACTATTAGATATCACTAAAGAGCGAAAGTACGAGATATATTTTTGTATAAATACACTTTTTCAACTCTTAAGCAGGCAGTATTTATAACATAGGAAATTCAAATAATTAGTTTTTTGAGAGATGGAAATAAATTGTTTGATTGTTTGACACTTAATGTCAAAGGAAGCTAGATAAAATCAAGAAAAATTATGCGTTTTAAAACTAAAATCTTAAATAACTTAAAAACGATTTATTTTAGACATAGGAACATGTACAGTCAAAATGTAACGAATTGAAAAATCTTTTCACTTGTGAAATAAAAAAAGTGGGTTTCCATTTGAAAAAAGTAATTTATAACAATTTTTTATTAGCTCAATTCCATGACAGCTACCGCCAATATTATATGATATTCGAACAATTTAATTTTTGAAATAGGTAGTCACATGTCTTCTTTTCATGTCACAGTGGCTGTGGTAATCACGAAATTTGACTTTTAGGCTATACCAATTTTTTTGACAGGTACCTAATTTACGTTGACCAAAAATTTTAAATATAGAAAATATTATATACATTTTTTCTCAAAAACGGTTAACTCTGCAACCTTAAGTTGTCAACCTATTATTAAATCATTATCAAATGTAATTTGTTGTGCTGTCTGCACTACTACGTTATAGTACCTACGCTTAGTGTTTCCGAAATGTATTTTTAAACTCTTAAGCAGGCAGTATTTATAACATAGGAAATTCAAATAATTAGTTTTCTGAGAGATGGAAATAAATTGTTTGATTGTTTGACACTTAATGTCAAAGGAAGCTCGATAAAATCAAGAGAAATATGCGTTAAAAAAACTAAATCTTAAATAACTTAAAAACGATTTATTTTAGGTACCTATATCTAGAAACATGTACAGTCAAAATACAACGAATTGAAAAATATTTTCACTAGTGCAATAAAAAAAGGGGGTTTCCATTTGAAAAAAGTGATTTATGACAATTTTTTATTAGCTTAATTCCATGACAGCTACATTTGAACAATTTAATTTTTGAAATAGATAGTCACATATCTTCTTTTTATGTCGCAGTTTTTTCGTCCAAAAATTTTAAATATTTTTTTCTAAAAACGGTTAACGTTAAGTATAGAGTGTTTAAAATCAAAATTCATATAAACACACCGGAAAAGTCTAGGGATATTACAATTTTATCCAGCCATCGTCAGTAATTTTACTTTTTGCATTTCTGATATAATAAAATTAAAATAAACAAATGGTTTAGAGGACGTTCTGGAAATAAAAATGCGAAGTTTACCGAAATTTTCAAATTTACCTTGATTTTTATTGAACTCAAATAAATAAACAATTTTTTTTTATTCTAAACTGTGAATTAAAAAAGAAAAAATAAAACCATTTTTAATTAATGAAGGGTATGGCCTCCTCTACTGTTCATTACAGTCGTACATCGTCTCGCCATGCTCCTGATCAGGTTGTCGATCTCTTCTTGAGGTACACTCTGCCACGCTGCATTCACGGCCCCAACCAGATCCCTACGAGTTTCACGAGGCATACCCATTCTCAAAATTCTTCTTTGGACCGCGTCCCATACGTGCTCGATGGGTTTGAGGTCAGGAGATTGTGCCAGCCAGGGTAAGATGTTTAATTGATGAGCATTGATAAATTCACTTACCACTCTGGCTGAATGAAGCCGTGCATTGTCATGCATGAGAATGAAGTTTCACCCAAAATTATTGGCATATGGTAACACAACAGGCACAAGAATTAAATCACGGTATGTGATTCCTGTTAGAAACCTTTCAAGAAAAACGAGATCGGTTTTTCAGCCTAACTGGACTCTTCCCCAGACTATAATTGTTCCACCTTGATAAGGGTGCACTTCCTGAACATGATCCAACCGAATAAGATTTCTTGGTTCTCTCCATACCCTAATCATTGTCGAATCCGGATGAATTCCAAAGCGTGACTCATAAGTGAAGAGAACATTGGTCCATTGTTCATTCGACCACTGAACATGATCTTGAGCCCACAAATATCGTACCTCTCGATTTCCTCTCGTTAAGGGTTGAGCTCTCCAGGGGCGTCTGCTTCTTAAGTTCACCTCTCATAACTCTTTGAAGGGCAACATTTGTCAGTAAATAAAAGTGCTAGAGGGGCATGATTTTTTTCATTACTTTTTAATAAAAATATTTAACAGAACTAAGAACAAATATTCAAAATAAACTCTAAAACTATGAAAAACAATTTTTTATATATAAATAATGACGTCATTACGTGGTACATACATACCATTGCCCCAGTATAATTTTACTCGAAAGTGTGGAAGTCCTGGAAGCATGTCTTGTTTGCCCCCAGACAGAGAGGAACTCGACAAACCGAACATATCCAGTTGGTACGAACTTGCTGTTTTGATGTACTGCATTTTGCACATCGCCGCCGAGAATCTCTTTCCGGTTGAGGGAACTTTGGTTGTGCCTAATTTCTAGGGGAATGAATGGCTTAAACTGTTTTTTAGCAACTGTTTCTCCACAGCTATAAGCTTTCCTTTTGTTTTTTATAACCAGGTCTGCAACTAGTCCTTGTGATACGCTTCTTCTAAACTCTTTCATGGATATTTTTGGCGAATGAAGTTCTTTATATAAAACGAAAGCGTTTACTACTGCTGCATCGAGAAAGTAGAAGAATATCCTGTGCCACCATTTTTTTGATTTCCTGTTTATTTTGTACAAATTCAGATTTTGATCAAATTTATCAACAAAATTCATGTTGGCGTTATAATCTGACAGCGCTTGCGGACAACGAACTTTGGTTGTAGTACCATTCTTTTCTTTCCTATTGACCTCAGTGGTTCCAAAAGGAGAATGAAAATTTGACAGTAAATAGACACTACGCTTATCTCTCCATTTAAAAGCTACAATTCTTGATGGATTGCTAAAAACTTCAAATTCCCCCCTCTTCAATTTTCGATCCGGTTTAAACACCGGCAAAGTTTTTCTCGATGGATTTACGGTACCACAGGCATGAATTAGTTTTTTCTTCAGGTCTTCCAGAAGTTCGGTACTATTGAAGAAGTTGTCGAAATAGACAATGTGCTCTTTATTTTCCAATCCATTGAGCATTTGTTTAATAACTCTGGCACCTAATTGTTTTTCGGCTATATTCGGTTTTATTCGCTAAAATCCATACCTTGTATCCTCGTTTAATAGGTTTTTTGGGCATGTACTGTTTGAGCGAGCTTCTCCCTTTGAATTTTATCATTGACTCGTCTATTACAAGTTCTCTACTTGGAGCCATACACCTTTCAAAATTCTCAGCTAACGCAATCAATAATGGTCGCACTTTGTACAATTTATCGTAGTGGGCTTCTCCCTTTTTAGGCATTAGCACGTTATTATTGAGATGAAAGTTCGAAAGGAGCCAACTAAAGCGCTTCACAGGCATCAATCCACTTATGTAAGCATCATTTATATCAGGAGAAGTACTCCAGTAGTCCCTATAGCTCGGTAATCGTTTAATTCCCATTAATAAATTTATGCCTAGAAAGGTTTTTATTTCTGAGATTTCGGTAAGTTTTTGTTTGCTGAAAGACTGCTGTGCGTACAAATTTGTCTGGAATACTATGTGGTCAAGCAGACCATCATTAAAAAATAACTTGAAAAGTTTGTACGGAGTAGGATCAACCATTTCTCTCACAACAGGTTTAATTCCGGACTCTGACGTAAAGTTTGAGGGGGGTACTGGTTCAACAAGCTTAGACCAGTCGTTAGAGTTTACGGGTGGTACAGGAAGCAGATTAGTTGCTAAAATAGATAATGGCACGTTATCTTCTGGATCAGTATCAGAATCAGTAAAATTCAAAGCAGGTGTAGTTTGGTCCAACAGTATTTGGCCATCTTCATCTTCCGACTCACTAAATACAGACTCCGGCTCGGAAGGTATTGGCTCCGCGTCGTTATATATATTATTCAATTCATCTTGCAGGTCATCATAACTCCAACCCTTTAGCTTAAATGGTAACGAATCCATATCTTGAATATCTAAAAAATAATCTGGCATAATCAGGATAGAATATTTGCCTAAGCGTGCAACGGTACACTTATAGTACCACAACAAACTACCAAAATAAAACAAAAAAAAAAAAATTTTTTCTTGTACCAAAATAATATTATTGTTATAAATGATCAAATATATTATTATTACAGGAAAGGCACCTATATTTTATTATATTTCACTTACTTTTCTGTATATTCAGCAGACTTTCACTTGCAACCACCTTAACGTTATGATTTTATCAATAAAACTGATCGCAGAACCGAAACTGCCACGTGCAACAGTTTAAATCAACAAAGAGCCGTCAGAGTGCGACCAATATTACGTTGGTCGAGAAAATGCTCCATTGCACAACTAGCTAAAAATGTTTGAAGGGGTGGTACATTTTTTAGACCGGTGCCCCACTAATACATATATTTTCCGGGTACAATTTTTATACCGGTGCCCCTCAAAGAGTTAATCTATTGCGAACAGTGTCAAGACTAACGGTTACATTATGTGTTTCCTAGAGAACTAAACTAAGCTCTGGTGCTGTAAGAGTGGGTCGGCGTCGAGTATTTAATTGTAAAAAATGATCTTGCTGAGGGGTAGTAATGCGATGTCGCCCTGTGTGCCTTTCAGCAACATCACCACTTTCACGGTAGCGTGAACTTCATCGCGATATTACACTTTGCGTTGTATTCAATGCTCTAGCTACGTCGATTTGACGCATTCCAGCTTCGAGCATACCCACGGCCCTTAACATTTCGTCTCTGTTAAGATGTCTACGCTCCATAACGTTGTTTAATACTAAACAATGTTGTTTGAATGAATTCTGACCAGTTATAGACAAAAACATAGCCAGTACAGGTTAAATTCGAACAATTGATGCTAGGTGTGTTTTACACATTTGACAAAAAATGCACAAAAACTTCGGCAAATATGCGAAATTTAGAAATAACAAGTGTGACTACTTCGTTTCAATCGAAGTAGAAAGAATCAGCCTAGTAATATGTGGTTGTTTATTCAAAATATTTATTTTTAATTTTAATAAAATGATATCCCTAGATTTTTCCGGTGTGCTTAATTTTACAGAGACTTTAATTACTGAATAAAAAACGGGGACACTCATTTAAAATAAGAAAGCTGCTATCAACATCCGGTATTTCCGGAAGTGCCACCATATTGAATTGAAAATATTTTTAATCAATGGATCGCGTTGTAAAACACTGATGTGCAAAAAAATTCTTATCTAGATATTGTAGTTCTCTAGAAACGCTCAAATGCACGCTCAACCTGGGACACCCTGTATATATAGCCAATATTTTACCGAGCATCACCGAGCGACGACCAAGTGTCTCGAGTAATAAACAAAACTAGATAAGTAGGACGAACTTGCATTTTCTAAGTCGCCTCAATTTTTGTTCCGTACCTAATAGTCTAGTCAAATTCTATTTTTGGTTAGAAAGTTTTGGGGTTTTCTGATTTATTTTGTCCTTTATGTTTTGTTGGGACGCTGAATCCGAATCTGATGTTTGCTAACAAAATTTCGTGATGGAACATTGAAAAAAAAATAAAAAACGCAAAAAATGCAATTTTTGCCAAAAGGCAAAAATTGTTTTTTGGAAATAATACTTCTATACAAAATAAAAGTAGACAAAATTTTCCACAAACCCAATTCTTCGTATTTTTCTCCTCAGACAATCCGATGCCAGGACCCCATTAGCCAACACGCCACGCCACGCGATGCCGTGGGGTAGCAACCCCACGTCGTGAAGATATGTGCGTATGTTTTTCCATTTAATTACATGCATTGCGTACACACTAGGCAACGCGCTACGCCATCCGACGCCATAACACGCTATCACACGTGTGATGGGCGATTCGTCAGTCCCAGATCTTAGTGATGGGTTGTTATTTAACTATCTGTTATTTTATAACAATTATTTAGAAATAACATAACGCAACCGTTACTGCTTTTAAAAAATAACAGATATAAAATAACAACACGCAGAGATCGAGTGTTCGTGAAACGAAGTCGGCGCTCTGCACCGCCACGAAATTCGATGCTGCTCGAAGCAATTCCAAAAAACAACTAGTATGGATGGAAAACCTATTATTTCGACAACCATCGATACAGGCGGCGAGATACAACGGACAACGGAGTGGGGTATGCGCTACGGCGCGGCGCGTCGTGTTGGGCTGACAACAGCTTAAAAATAATAGGATATAAAAGAAGCAGCTTTTTTGAAACAGTTGCGGGCATAACGCCTGGCTGTCGAGATAACAGGAGTGGGAAAGGAGCGCTGCTGCATCGGTCGATTGTCGATGGAGGCTCGCAACGGGTTGGAGAATAACGCATCAGTTGTTTTAGCTATGTTGTTTTTTTACCTGTTACGAGCATAACAGAACGGCGTTCGAGATAATCGGAGGTTTGAAACAGGTTGGAGAATAACGCATCAGTTGTTTTAGATACATATTGTTTTTCAACCTGTTACGAGCATAACGGGCGGAGGTCGAGATATTATGGCGCTGTATGTTTCAATACTTTGTTATTAAGTTTCAATATTTAAGTATTTATTTATTCTGAAAAATTTTCAGAATAATATTTTAAGATTTTTTAAAAATGTATACAGGGTGTTTTGAAAAATCTGGTCATTGATTAATCACGATCCTGCTTAAAGCCCTTGACGTAAAAAGCTGATTTTTGGAAAACGGATTGACTTTAGGGTGTAGAGGTGCGATAAGAAGGGATTTTTCGAAACTCAAATTCTAAGGGGGTGAAACCACCCTCAAATATTAGAATATTTTTTATTTAAAAACTGGTGAGTTTTTCGAAAAAACTCTTAAACACGTATATTTTATTTTGTTGTTTTACATATTTTGAGATTTTTACAAAATATATACAGGGTGTTTCATAAAATATGACCACTGAGTAATCACTATTCTGCTTAAACTGCTTGACGTTTAAAGCTGATTTTTGGTAAACGGATTGACTGTGGGGTGTAGAGGTGCGATAAGGAGGGGTTTCTCGAATCTCAAATTCCAAGAGGGTGAAAACGCCCCTCAAATATTACAATATTTATTATTTAAAAAACGGTTAGTCTTTCGGGAAAACGATTGGACACGCATAATTTATTTTGTTTTTTTACATATTTTGAAATTTTTTAAAAAATAATACAGGGTGTTCCAAAAAGTTGAGTAATTGATTAACCACGATTCTGCTTAAACTGCTCGACGTTTAAAGCATATTTTTGGCAAATGTGAGAAAATTTTATCCAGTTTGTATGTTAATGGAAATTCTTGCTTTGCTTTATCATCACCATTACAAATTAATAATTCGATGCGAACGAAGTCGCGGGTACAACTTAACAAGTATAGCTAGAGACGTGAGAAATATAAAATAAGAGACGCCCCCCGATGCGCAGTGGACATCCCACAAATTTGCTTCAATCAGATTTTTCGTAGCGTAACTGCATCTCTCTTCCGCCGAATGCGTTCTCTCTCTATCGTGTGCGCGACCGGTGCTATCCCCAAGTCTCTTCCTATATTTGTCAAACTGTACATGCTAGTTTAAGTGTAAAATTAATTCGAACTCTAGTGTGTAGTTGGTTTACTTATGAAGAATATACTACACATTTTCTTATATTGCTATTTTTTGACCGCAAATGGTAAAATCATAACGAAGAGCTTCTCGCCCGTCGAGTGAGATGCACCCTGTACACTGCTACGCAATTCAGAATCTACGCGGATCGAGGGGTAGGGCGTAGGTAGATCGGAATTTATAGATATAGACGAGTGGCGGCATTTTGGCTTTTTTATATCGCAATTTGTAAACAGCGCTTATTTGTAAACAACCCCCGTTTTTAGAGAGGTATTTTAGATAACAATCGATATTTAGAAATGTTATGACACCCTGGAAATACTACCACCGAGCACGTCATTGTTGCAACTCGTTAATACGCCTGGCGGTGACCGCCTCATATTCTTTCAGATATTTAGCAATAAAATAAAGAAACCTGTTATTTTTAAGCTGTTATTTTAAGCTGTTTTTTATAAATAACTATAACAGTTTCAACTGTTATCTAAAAATAACAGTTTTGCCCATCACTACCAGATCTCACCGATGTGTGTTACTGCGTGTTGTTCCCCGCTTGCCTCTCTAGTGCCGCAGTTTTAGATTAGACCACGTTTTAGGTTAGAATGGGTATAATCAGGAGGGCTACTGACAACGTGTTGTAAAAGTAAGGTAATTAAGGGCTTATTTTTTGGTATTTATTATAATTTTGCTAATATCTGCTTTGAAAGAAGATATCAAGATGTGGTTTTCACTGACTTTTTAAGCTTTTACTACTCTTTACTAACAGCTAAAATTACATATACTATTGCATTTAATTTTTTTGAAAAAACGCGCAATGTTTGTTAAATTGTAAGACAACGCCCCCTAGCGTCTACGTTCAAAAGCTTATTATTATTGTTAATATGGTACAATATAGAGTAAGAAACGCTCTTTTCAATGAGCCCTCGCTTGTTGGACTCCGATCATCCAGTCCAGAGTTATTAATATTTAAATAAAAACAGATCTAACCTTCCTCTACCACTTTATTTTGGTAGATAGGGGAAAATGGTTCTAACAAAAAATATTCAAAATTTAGTGAAGATTATGAAGCTGTTACTTATAGTACACCTTATCCAGGCAAAATTGTGTAAAAATTCCATTTTCTTATTTTTTGTTGCAGTTGCGCCCCCTAGCGGTCGTTGTACAAACTTGAAAATAATTTCCAGCAATTTCCCATAGCCTCTTTAGTCATAAATATTTTTTTCCGCAGCCGCTACTGCTAATACTTTCCGAGATACAGCCGAGAGCTATTCTTAGTGGGACACCCTGTACTTTAATTTTGAACAGAAATATTATTTACGAAAAGTAATTTTTTTCCGTCACGAAATTTTGTTAGAAAACCTCAGATTCGAAATCAGCACCCCAAACAACATAATAAATAGAAGAAATTGGAACTAACCCAAAACTT